TTCTTAGACTTTTTCTTAACCTAGATCTGATTTGTTGTCGCTCTTCATCATGTTCGGAACCTGGTGGGACGAGTTTGCGAGAATCCATCAGTGTGATAGACTTTAAAGAAATCCACTGGTTCTTTGTAACTCTGTGGTTTAATTCGCTAATAGATGTCACTGCTGTTTCCACAGCTGCTTGTATGTCTTTCCAAGCAACATCTGGGTCAGCCTCGTCTTCAGAACTACCTAATTGTGACCTCAGTTGATCTTGGAACCTATTTTTGGTTTTCTCGTTACTCAACTCAGTTCTAATGGGTCTTTTTGGTGTGGCTTTTTTGCGTCCAGTGAGGCGCAAGCAGATGCGTGCCCGTATTAGGGCGTGGTCAGAGTCCAAGCAGGTACTCCAGAATGAGCGAAATTCTCCTACCGACCCTCTCCAACGATGACTGATGGCAATATAGTCTATTTGAGTCCATCGTTGGTTTGGTGTAGGGGGTCGCCATGTTAGACGATGTCTCTCCTTATGCTTAAAATTTGTGTTTGCTAAAATTAAGCGATTGTCTGAGCACAGTTACAGCAGACGGTCACCAGTATCTGTTCACTGTGCCGGAATGCTAAAATATCCACCTAAATGCCTTCCGTTTGGTTTAAGCTACCTATCTGAGCATTAAAGTCACCCCCTATGAGTATTATGTCTGAGCGTTTAGCTTTCTGAAGAAGTTCAGAAAGCTTTCTGTAAAATTCATCTTTCACATCATCTGAGCTGCAGTCAGTGGGAGCGTAGGCAAGAACGACGAAAAGGCAACGACGTGTGTCCCTATCCTTCCGAGTTCTTACGGAGCCGTTTAGCCGAACAGCACATAGACGACTGTTGACCGGGATCCACTCTAGTAGTGCTTGTTCCGCCCTCATGCTTAGTGCTATGCCTACACCTGCCAGTCCACGAGAACTGGCCATCGGGTCACCAGATACACATAGGGTGTATCTCGTTGGCTCTCCGTTTTGCCGAGGTGAGGTCAAGTGAATGACCACACTGGAATCCTGTATGCGTGTTTCAGAGACACAGCATACATCAATGGAAAGAGACTCTAGGTTTCTAGCCAAGGAAGCCTGCTGACCGATTTGACATAGGGTTCGTACGTTGAAGGCTGCAATGTGTAGCTTGGAGCGAGGTTTCAGTAGACATGGGACAGTGTTTTGAGCACTAGAATCGTTGGCTATGGTGACACTTGAGGGGGAAGCCGAAAAAGGAAGTTTAGAGGTGAAAGTCGATGTAGGAGGAATAATAGGAAGTGAAGACGGAGGTTAATTATGAATACAGTGGCCTTGAGCGCTGTTAGAGGTATGAGGGCAGTTATCACTTCCCGGTTGCCCGCACCGAAGAAGGGTTCTTCTAGAGGTGTCTGAAAAAGAAATTGGGTTAGAGGTGGTCTTAGTGACCTGAGGGCGTGACCGCAGCGCCCAAGGGACAACTGCTTGAGGTCAGTCACACACAACCTTTTCGTGGGTAATTTTTGTGTTAGCTCCGTACTTGTTGAGACCTTACCGCCGGAGACGGATATCCGTGGGATAAGACGAGGTGTGTGTTTTTAGGGTCGACCTTTTCTAACCCCACCCCTCCATGTGGGAAGGCAGCATCGCTGTCAGGCTGGTTGCCTGAAGGAAACACCTTACTGTTGTCACACCTCTGAACACTCAGCAGTACGACTTCGCCTTCGGACCTTGGGTTTGTTGCTTTTAGTCTTACCACTCTTCAACCGACCTGTCTGACATGGTAGGACCTTGAGGAACGGTTGTTCCAGTCAGTATAGCTCGGTTGCTTCATCACGATAGGCAAGCCCGACCACCACGTCAAGGTAGCAACAACGGTCGGGTATCCGCAACCTCCGGAATAGAAGTCAACGACTTTTATTTAATAATTTATCACTATAACTACTAAGCCAAGTAAGACATAATTACTAAACACTGTAGTTATTCGTAAAAATGTAATGGATTTCCAATTTATATTGGTTGGCACCCACTGTTTAAAGATCTCTGCAAACCTTAATGAAACGGATACTCAACTAGAGATCCTGATCCAAGTTGCCAACAACTGTAGTCAGAAAAGTTACCACTAGATTATACAAGTTTTCTTGATTCTTTTAATCATCTCTATTAATAAAATTGTAATCTCTACGATCTCCGAGTACGCTTATCCATTTCAACATTTATATTTGACATATCTTATAAAAAATTACTCCTGTCTATGCTTTACATATTTAATCTCACTTACACTTGACTTATTAATTCCAGTTTATTTTATTAGTCTGTAAAGCTGTCTTGTGTTCCCTATAGTCGCCGCCTTTTCCATCTCTTTTGCTTTCATTGCCCACCACTGCTCACGGTCATTTCTTAGACTTTTTCGTGCCTTAAAGTAGCCCTCGTGCTATTGATAGAAGAAACCAGAGAAGTAGTGAATAGGTCTTTATTTCGATCTTAGCGCGGTGACAGTGGAGCGTCCGATTACCTGTTCAGACAAACAAAGGCTCTCAACATTCAATATAAGATAATAGGGAATATAACGCTTATACAAAACAAGGAAGTGAATGAATACTTGAACAGTACTGTTTTGGCATATGCTTGGTTGTTTGGGGTCAACTCTTAACCAACCAACCTAGGCTGTTACAACTTTTTCTTAACCTAGATCTGATTTGTTGTCGCTCTTCATCATGTTCGGAACCTGGTGGGACGAGTTTGCGAGAATCCATCAGTGTGATAGACTTTAAAGAAATCCACTGGTTCTTTGTAACTCTGTGGTTTAATTCGCTAATAGATGTCACTGCTGTTTCCACAGCTGCTTGTATGTCTTTCCAAGCAACATCTGGGTCAGCCTCGTCTTCAGAACTACCTAATTGTGACCTCAGTTGATCTTGGAACCTATTTTTGGTTTTCTCGTTACTCAACTCAGTTCTAATGGGTCTTTTTGGTGTGGCTTTTTTGCGTCCAGTGAGGCGCAAGCAGATGCGTGCCCGTATTAGGGCGTGGTCAGAGTCCAAGCAGGTACTCCAGAATGAGCGAAATTCTCCTACCGACCCTCTCCAACGATGACTGATGGCAATATAGTCTATTTGAGTCCATCGTTGGTTTGGTGTAGGGGGTCGCCATGTTAGACGATGTCTCTCCTTATGCTTAAAATTTGTGTTTGCTAAAATTAAGCGATTGTCTGAGCACAGTTACAGCAGACGGTCACCAGTATCTGTTCACTGTGCCGGAATGCTAAAATATCCACCTAAATGCCTTCCGTTTGGTTTAAGCTACCTATCTGAGCATTAAAGTCACCCCCTATGAGTATTATGTCTGAGCGTTTAGCTTTCTGAAGAAGTTCAGAAAGCTTTCTGTAAAATTCATCTTTCACTTCATCTGAGCTGCAGTCAGTGGGAGCGTAGGCAGAAACGACGAAAAGGCAACGACGTGTGTCCCTATCCTTCCGAGTTCTTACGGAGCCGTTTAGCCGAACAGCACATAGACGACTGTTGACCGGGATCCACTCTAGCAGTGCTTGTTCCGCCCTCATGCTTAGTGCTATGCCTACACCTGCCAGTCCACGAGAACTGGCTATCGGGTCACCAGATACACGTAGGGTGTATCTCGTTGGCTCTCCGTTTTGCCGAGGTGAGGTCAAGTGAATGACCACACTGGAATCCTGTATGCGTGTTTCAGAGACACAGCATACATCAATGGAAAGAGACTCTAGGTTTCTAGCCAAGGAAGCCTGCTGACCGATTTGACATAGGGTTCGTACGTTGAAGGCTGCAATGTGTAGCTTGGAGCGAGGTTTCAGTAGACATGGGACAGTGTTTTGAGCACTAGAATCGTTGGCTATGGTGACACTTGAGGGGGAAGCCGAAAAAGGAAGTTTAGAGGTGAAAGTCGATGTAGGAGGAATAATAGGAAGTGAAGACGGAGGTTAATTATGAATACAGTGGCCTTGAGCGCTGTTAGAGGTATGAGGGCAGTTATCACTTCCCGGTTGCCCGCACCGAAGAAGGGTTCTTCTAGAGGTGTCTGAAAAAGAAATTGGGTTAGAGGTGGTCTTAGTGACCTGAGGGCGTGACCGCAGCGCCCAAGGGACAACTGCTTGAGGTCAGTCACACACAACCTTTTCGTGGGTAATTTTTGTGTTAGCTCCGTACTTGTTGAGGCCTTACCGCCGGAGACGGATATCCGTGGGATAAGACGAGGTGTGTGTTTTTAGGGTCGACCTTTTCTAACCCCACCCCTCCATGTGGGAAGGCAGCATCGCTGTCAGGCTGGTTGCCTGAAGGAAACACCTTACTGTTGTCACACCTCTGAACACTCAGCAGTACGACTTCGCCTTCGGACCTTGGGTTTGTTGCTTTTAGTCTTACCACTCTTCAACCGACCTGTCTGACATGGTAGGACCTTGAGGAACGGTTGTTCCAGTCAGTATAGCTCGGTTGCTTCATCACGATAGGCAAGCCCGACCACCACGTCAAGGTAGCAACAACGGTCGGGTATCCGCAACCTCCGGAATAGAAGTCAACGACTTTTATTTAATAATTTATCACTATAACTACTAAGCCAAGTAAGACATAATTACTAAACACTGTAGTTATTCGTAAAAATGTAATGGATTTCCAATTTATATTGGTTGGCACCCACTGTTTAAAGATCTCTGCAAACCTTAATGAAACGGATACTCAACTAGAGATCCTGATCCAAGTTGCCAACAACTGTAGTCAGAAAAGTTACCACTAGATTATACAAGTTTTCTTGATTCTTTTAATCATCTCTATTAATAAAATTGTAATCTCTACGATCTCCGAGTACGCTTATCCATTTCAACATTTATATTTGACATATCTTATAAAAAATTACTCCTGTCTATGCTTTACATCATATGTTGCTCACTAATCTTTTTGACATTTGTATATCTAAAATCATATGGATGAATTTATTATTTACTAATGGTTGAAAGTTATGCCTGTTTATATTTATGTTTTCTGTAAATCTTCCAGGTTCTATTCCGTTCACAAATACATGTCTTAAGTTGAGAAAGTTCATTGCGATAAACTCTATTTACAGAGATAAGTCGAACATCACGAATCTACAACTTCATACTTGTTGCCATCTGTCAGTGTAAGCACTCGAAAATTTCTTACTCTTTTAGTTCATCTGTACATTGTGTAACAAAGCATACCAATAGTGATTCGTTGGGAGGCTTCATCGAGCTTTTTTCTGTTTTTGGTTTGTGAGAACTATACTTTTTAGATAAACGATATTCACTTAGTCGCTTGTCTTTGAAGTTTTTCTAATTTAGAAGACCCTCTGAGTGAAAAATCAATTTGAAATGGAATCATTCAATCACCAGATATTAATTAATTCATAAATAATAAATATAAACTTAACAAATACAAAGAGTGCATGACATCCACCAAAATACTTGTGGCTTATGTTATATGAATTGAGGTGTTTACTTTACAGAAGTTTAAAACAATTTTCAGTTGATTACCAAACACTTCAGTAGCAATGAAACTTTAAAAAATTGATCAAAAAGTATTTATAAATGGTAAATGTTTCAAGCTAGTTAACTGTCTGATGTGGACTACATAACTGGTAAATAGAAATTACTATAAAATCAATCATAAACATCAATCCATATAAACGTTTTGAGTAAAAATAACAGTATTTCATTGTTATATCTTATTATTACTAGAAAGTTTCAAACGGTTCACGAATTTGCAGGACTTGCTTCATTGGTACTGACTTCCCAAGTGGCCCGTTATGGATATTTGGGGATGTATTTTTAAGAAAAGTTTATACAGTATTTGATGTTGGTCAACGGCGAATAGGAATTGCTGATGTCGCAGAAGAGGTTAAATCCTCGTGAACAAAAATAATATTTGTGAGATAGTCAATAACTCTCTTTCCGGTTTTTGAAGTAATATCGCTGAACTGAATTATCTAGTTAACAATATATGAAACGATAAAAAAACATCTTTTTTATTTTAAGTGATTTTGCGATTACCGTTTCTGTTTTACTTATACGGCATTGTTGTTTGCTTTTTCGTTTTCTCAGTTGTATAGATAAGCAAAACAACATATTGGAAAATTTCTGTTTACTAATAAGCGGTAGCAGTTAAGACTGCCGATGTGAACATTTACAAATGTTTACTAGTTTACATCAAACTCATCAGTCCCAGATAACTGTTGAACAGTCATATGGTGAAATATCTAGTGTTGTAGCCGTCAAAATGAGAAATTACACAAAATATTAGCGATAGTACAATAATACACTGAAATAATCGGAATTGTCTGATGTCTCATTCACGGAAATCAACAAGAGGGTATCTATTCAATGTTGTATATTAAAGTAGGTACTTTGGTAGAAATATAAAATTATGTCTCCTGAAATTTATAACGAATGTTCCAGATATAAAAAATGTGGTAAAAGGACTAGATATGACGTTCTATGTACAGGGAATTATCAGTGTTAATAGATCTTATGGTCTGTTAGGATATATGCTTAGTCATAAGTACAGGCCACTCACCAGCATTCTCCGTCCAACTCTATCCTAAACAGTCCTTGCCAGTTCTTTCAAGTTGCTACTCATCCTTTTCATGTCTGCTTCCGATTTCCGACGTATTGTGTTCTACAGCTTTCCTCTTTTACGTTTCTCTTCAACTCTCCAAGTTAGCGCTTGCCTTGTGATGCAGCCTGGTGATTTCTGTAATGTATGTTCTATCCACTTCCAACGTCACTTCCTAATTTCATCGTCAGCTAGAAATTGGTTTTTTCTCTGCCATTGTTTGTTGTTGTTGATGATATCCGGTCAACAGATATCGAGTGCCTTGTGTAGACAGTTGTTCTTAAATACCTGTACTTTATATGATTGTTGTAGTGGTTCTCCACATATGTAGGAAGCAATTTCCTACAGATTCAACTCTAAGCTAATCTCTAGACTGTCGAGTACAGAGTCTTGGTTTAGCCAAAGTCAGAACAAGCAAGCTATTTGGCTAGATAAACTTTATCTGTTTCTAAAACATAAATTAACATCGTTAGTGTACAAACAAACAGTACGGTCTCTTAATGCAGGGAAAAAGAGAGACAAATAACATACCGAACAGTAGTCAGAGAATAGGAAAAATGAGTCAACAAGCCAATATTGTTTTACAATGAACATTAAACTGTGATTGGTTAATAAAGAGATACAGTCGTACAAGGTCAAAAGGAGTTGAAGTGGTGGTGGGCGTTTCCCTTATTATTGGTGGGTTCGTCTATCAATCACATTTTACACTCCCCCCGAAACGCGCACCACGTCCGTTGTCCAGGGTCGTCGTCGCCGTCAGACAGCCGGCTCCTTCTAGTAGACATAAGCGTCGTACGTCCCGAACGGTTTCTTCGTCTGCGGTTCTCAATTTCGCCGTACGGACTTGTCCGTCAGAGCCATAGCTTACTTGTTCGGCAATTGCTTTGGACCATAGACTTCTCAGTGAGCCATCATTGTTTAATAACACTAAGTCTCTCGAAGACTCATCCGTCAATACCTTCTGAAACAATAGTGATCGCAGAATTCTTCTTATCGACTTTATGATGCGTCCCCATACACCGTCTCGTTGACTATACCTCGGAAGTTTAAAGCGCCATTCACAACCTCTCTCTGTCTTATTCTGATTCCAACTACGCACGATCTGTCTAAGAATAGCATTGGATCCTGTAGAACTACCAGATGCACCCTTACTCTTGTTCACAACTCGTACAAGAGCGCCTTTCTCAACACCATCCTCGATACCACGGCGAATATGTGCTACCTGCTTCTTCAGGGTCTTAGTTACTGGCTTCTTCGTTACAGTGGTCTTCGGCTTTTTCGTAGTCTTCACTTTCAGTTTGATGTCCTTCTTTTACTAAAGCTTCCTTAGAGTTGATTTGGATTTATTAGCAGATGATGCTTCAGTTTTTGGCTTAACAACCTTGTACTTAGTTAATAAAAACGAACAATGACATCTTCGGAACAAGTATACTTCGCGACACCATATGCAGATTCTGATAATGCTATACGATCTTCCACAGACATCGATGAAGTACGACTAAGTAGGTCTTTGAATTCAGTTGAATACAATTGTTCAAACTTATCCCTTAATTCCTCTTTAGCTGAGAGGTGAGTGAGTACACGATTGCTTTTACAGGGTTCCCCATAGGAACCGAACAGCGTCCAACCTAACAGAGTCTTCACGGCGAATGGTTCGTTCGGCTTTCCAGTTCTTACCTCTTTCATTTCGTGTACACTCGGTGCGTTGCATCCGATCAACAGTTCGACATTCTCATCCTCTACTCCAGGAAAACTTGTGTCTTTTAAATGCGTCCAGGATTTCATTTGAGACGTCATTGGTACCGGCCTGCGCAACATAGGTAATCTCTCGACTGTCCATACATTTGGAATTCTAAATGACGAAGACGAGTCTAAGGAGGAAACCTCTAGGTGAATCTCTTTACACTGAATTGTGGAATGGTTATCCGACGTTTTCAACGAAATCGTCTTAGGCTCTCCTTCTAAATTCAAACATTTAGCTAGATCTTCTGTAATAAGAGAAGGGTCCGACCCACTATCTAGGGCGCAAGTGTGTGCTACCTTTTCTACATTTCTTACCAGTACAGGCACTATTGCGAATGCTGCTTGTTTCTGTACACGCTCAACACTTTTCTCCGTACATAGCTGGGTGTTAATGTGTGCATCAGTATTAGTATCCCTTGGTTCTTCCCGTAACTCATGTAACAGGGTATGGTGTCTCCAGCCACACCTTTCGACAGCATACGACCTCGGCGATCGACAGTTTTTTGCTACGTGGTTTGCCTTCAGGCATACATTACACAACTTGTGTCTAAGAACGAATTCCTTCCTTGCTCTAACATTCTTGTCTTTAAATTTCTGACATTGATCTAAAGAATGATTACTGGAGCACTCCTAAATATCGACAGAAGTTATCGCCATAGTTTGTAGAAAGATTTTCGTATGTACGATGTGTAGAGACTTACTTCTATGAAAAGAATGCGATTGGTATAATGGAAACGGTTTTTATTATAACCAATTGTACCAGTAATTGTTTTACTGTACCTGTTTGTTTAAGTGCACTAAAAACATCCTTCCGTTGACTGTGATTTTGAACATATTTGCGTACGCTTAATAGTCTACCTGTAAATTTTGGCACGATCTCGGTAGTATTTCAATACCACGAGATTGCCAACAAATATATCTTATTACAACCATCAACTGCCTCCTGGTTTTTGGCCTACGGAGGAATCCGACCTAATAACTGGCAAGTATTCTTCCTGTAGTGGTGATCATAGTCGATCGTGACTCGACGCCACACTACAGATGTATGCAGTCTTTCTCTTCTGACCGGGACAACTAACTTCATACACTTATCACACACCATTCTTACTGTCGGAAGGGTAACTATTGGAAACTAAAAGAGTCAGGGGGCATTTATGGCAGATACTGATCTATTTATAGGAAACGTGTTGAAATTGATTAGGCATTTCACTCAAAGGAATACCCGCAAACAGAAAACCCTCTGGTTCAAAACCTAACGTATTTTCAAATTCAATACTACAGTTTATGTTATACATTATGTCATTTACTGACTTTCTCGCATCTACCTTTCTAGGAGACCTGCGTATGATTTTGTTCACTCTTCTCATAGCATTCCGCAGCACCTAAGAGAGATACTTCTCTCGGTTTGGATATGGTATATTCTGCTGCACTGAGAGAAGCAGCTTCAATCCTAGCAACACCGCTTATCTTGCAGTTCTCGCATTTACTAAGCCGAGGAACATTACCGGAAATTTGGAAGCTGGCTCAGTTCACACCAATTTTCAAAGTAGGTTGACACAGCGAGCCTTCAAGCTACTGACCGGTGGTGCTTCTCTCTATACCCTAAAAAATTATGGTGTCCCTCGTATGCGATGGTCTGCCCGAATATATCTAGACCAAAATGGACCTCAAGTTCAGTTTGCCTTATTTTTCCTACTTAGCAGTTGTATCAGTTACATTTTCCACCCTATTTCTTCTTTTGAAGTAGACAGGTAACTCACTGGACCTATCGATACTGTTCAAGTAAACTCGATTGCTAAGAGACACTCACTACCACCCTAAAAAGTCAAACGAACCGCACAATCGACTGCCAACTGCTAGTGGTCTCGCATCTGCGAAGCCTGTTACCCATGTGAGCTTCTTCTTGTTTATTCTTTACCAGCTTTTTACTCTTCTGTACATTATATTGACTAACAATTAATATTATTTCTCCACTCGTTACCTTATCTACAACTCATATACTTCTATACTTTTCCGCCTGATTTAATAAACAACTATTCTACATTATAGCCTTCTCAATGCTTATACTCTGATTGGCAAACTATACTTTATACTATAGTCAATTAAAGCACTGCATCGATGCCTTATCCACAGTCCATAACTTGTAACTGCCTGATAAGCTTGTAAAATCGTACTTATAGAAATAGTGTTTTCCAACAAGTTGTGGAACACAGAGGATTGTGTGAGGTATGACATATATCCTCAAATAAGCTTAAATGAGCCTAACATCACAAAAAGAGGGAGGGTGGAGTTACTGACCACCAAGCATTGATGGTGAGGGCGATAACTTCAATCCACCCGTGTTTATGGGGCAGAACATTTTGAATGTATCAGGCTCTCTATGATTGAGAATAAGCCAATCAATC